GGGGGGGGGGGGGGGGGGGGGGGGGGACTACCGCCGCCCTCTGAGTAAAGATGTGGAAATTGTTCTTTCGAGCTCCGACTCCGTTCCTAGCTAGTGGAACCAAGAAGCGCTCAGCATCAGGCGCGCATGCATGTGTGAGGTGCAGGCGAGCGCAGGTGGTGTGTGCGTCCGCACGCGTCCGTTCGCGGCTCTGCGGATGCGCAAGCAAGCCCCCCGCGCCTTGGTACCTTGGTGGGCCCTGCCCCCATTCGAGTCCTGCCTGCAGAAACGTGGACCTCACACGCTTCCTGTCATCTGCCACTCGCATCTGGCAGCAATCGATGCACACCGCATCACGCGCCACGGCGGCGTTCCGTGAGTCGATCTCAAGCCACACGACATGGCAACCCTCCTCGGCTACAGCCCGGTCAACTCCATGTGTAGAACGCGCACGCAGCCAGCCATCGCAGCTCCGCCTGGCTTTCGGCCGGAGTCCTCTTTGAGTCGGCCCTTCCCATGCAGGAACAGGAAAGCCCTGATGGCCCCCTCGAAAGTGGATGGTCAGCTGGACAACTTGCACTGGCGGATGGAGTGTGGGAAGTGGGAACGTCTGCCGTGGGGACAAGCCAAAGAGGAAGGGTGGGAGAGAGGAGAGCGTGCCCACGGATCATCTGACGCACGCTGGTCCCGTCTGGGGAGGATGGAAGCCAAAGGCTGGGTGCAACGATTCATGCGCGAGCGAGTGGAATCACGGCTGTTGCGGTACAGGGGGCCGACGACGTATCGAGTCGCAGTGGATCACGTCTCGGCGCCTTTTTCCATTCGCTGCTTGCCTGCACTTCACACTCCGCCGCACGCTCAACATCTGATGGCGCCTCGCTCGGTGTCGGTCACCTCTGAAATTGCGCAGCGGAACAATCCCTTCCTGCTCTCCTCCCTCGCTGTTTTTGCAATGTTGCCAGCAAAGAGTCGGGACGCATCGCACCCTGATGGCTTCGCCTTCCCGTTTTTTGCATTCTTTTCTTTTTGGAGCGATTCTCCCATGCAGCCTTGCAGGACTCCAAAGTGAAACAGCTGTAGCTTGTCGCCCATGTACCGCGTTGTTCGGTCTGATCCTCTGACCTCAGGCACAGGATAGGTCTAGCCACCACGCGCTCGTTCCTTACATGATGTATGCGTCCACTTCAAGAATCTTGCGCGCAGCGTCTTTTTCATGGCCGGTCTTGGCAGCGATACAATGCAACTGTGTCGCGTGGCATCACGCTTGTCAAGGACGAGACAAGACTGTACCAGCCATGTCAAACAATGGCACAACTCTTGAGCTGTAATCCATGCACGCTGTCGCCCTTCCTGGGAGCTTGACAGCTTCCATAGTGGGATTGCTCGATGAGAGCGAGACGAGGGCAACCCATTGCAACTTCCCTCAACAAAACGCAAGGCGACATCGAGGAGTGAATTTTTCTCTTCGTGCTGGTCCTGGCTTCCTCTTCTAGGGCACGTTGTGCTGCTTTCATTTTGGCCGGCAACTAGGATCTTGGGTCGAGCGTGCCAATCGTTGATGTTCGACCTTCCGCTGCACAGTTTGGCTGAAAGAAAAGAGGTGCAGTCGGATGTCTGTCGGAGTTGCGGTGCAAGTCACAGAAGCAAGAGGACAATGCTGTATCCGGGCGGCCTGGCGGTTCGGGCCACCATGGAAGCGAAGGCGCAACTCAGCTGGCTGAGTTTTCTGCCCAGACCGTTTTTTTGGGCCGAGGGAAAACACGGAGCAGAAGGCTCCGGCAGCAAAAGAAGCTGATGCTGCGGCGGCTGGTGCGCTCGGCTTGTTCAACAACTCACAATGCTTCACAGACCAACGAGATTTCGCGGCAGCGATGGCCTCAGGAACCCGATGGATGCGTGTGCGCGTGCACGTCTGCGAGATCTTGAGCTGTGCAGGACGATGAGCGAAGACGTGCGCTTTGCAGCCCCGTCATGCGGGCCACCAAATCCGGTCTCACTTGCAGAAAATCTTGGATCATGCCAGCAAGACTCTGGTTGCATATCCGCACTGCTCAATCTCGCTCCCAATGCCGAAGCACAGCCGAAAGGAAAGCAGTACTATATCCCACACACCACAAACGATGTCCCGCAGTTGGGTACAGTATCTCATTGTCACGACGAAGGCGCTTTGCTCGAATTCTCACGAGACTGTTTGCCTGTCTGACTCTGACCTTTTGTCAGCTGCGTGCCTGGTGCAGAGTGAAATCTTGATGCACGTCACGCTCCCTCGCTCAAAGGTACGTGCCAGACCTCATCCTCCCCCGCAACCATTGCAGGCCGTCGCAGGTCCCGGTCGTCAGCGCCAAGTTTCAACGGATGTCGACGCAATCTGACATCAGAGACAATGGCAACGACACAGTGCCGACTCGAACACCGGCTAAAGCGAAGAGCGGACAGATTGATCGACGCGAATCGGCAGCGCGGCTGCTCAATTTGAATCGGATGGGCGCCGACGAAGCACGCCAGCAAGTCCTCGCTCAATCTCCGACGGAAGCGGGAGGGCAAGGCAGCATTGAAGCGATTTCATGCGCCATCGTCTGAGTTGGAAAAATCCGAACGGGCGCCGTTGATGGAGTGGGAATGACAGGTTGGAGATGGCATTTGAAAGGGCGGACCAAGGAGATTGGTGCCAAGGCAGAACAGCAACGGCCCAGCTGCTTCGTGCTCGCTTACATGCACAGCAGCAGGGCTGATGCCAGCTGCCACCTTGTCGCATCCAGCACGGTGGACCGACTGTGAATCGATCGACTTGGGCAGGCCAACGGCATGCTGGACGAAGCGAGCGGCGTGCCGGCTAATGACGCATCGACAGACGGCATTAGAGCCGCCTGCACGTGTAGTGCCGATGATGGTCACACATCGCAGCTAGGCGAGGCGTGCATGCCCGCTACAGCTGCCGATGCCACACCCCAGGCGAGCGACAACGGAGCTCGAATCGGCTTGGTCTGCCTGGCCAGTCATCAATTCCCAGACGTGGCTCCGGAGTCCAGCAACAGCTGGCGCCTTTCCGCTGCAAGCCACAGCTCGCTTCCACTTCTCCGAGCCCCACCCAGAACTGAGTTGGGTTCTTCGGCCCGTCTATTTCCCCTTTTTTTATCGTAATCCCTCTTCCAAAACGGGACCAACGCAAGTCAAACACACAACGAAGATCTACACTCGCCATCACCAAGGCACCTCCATTGTTGGTTGCACAACCTTTGCGCTCGATATCAGAGAGAGAGACATACGGGATAGGGCTGAGAACGGCAGGAGACTCGCCGGCTGTTTGTTTTTTGGGGCTTGTTTTTTGGGACCAGCTGACGCTGCAACGCACCAGTGGCTAAGCGAGGCCGACGGGAAGAGAGCGCATGATCAAAGCCCGCCCTGGCACCGGTCTGCAAAGAACATTGCCATTTGGGTCGGAAGATCGTGTTTTGCCGAGCGAAGCCCGCGTGGTCTAAATGCGGACCCGCCCGGCTCGATCACCGCTTTATTCGGCGCGGCCAGGTTGTCGTTATTGGCGAAGTAACACGCAGAGTAATCACATACGATGTTAGACCACGATTGCACTTTGTCAAAATTGAAATCCGAGCCAGGCCCCTTTCTTCTTGTTTTGAAGTCGCGCGCAATAGTGGTCGAAGCTGTGGCTTGAATCGAGGCGACCCTGGAGGAATACAACAGGGCGCGGACGCTGGGCCATCGGTGATGCAACGGCGCGGGGGCAGTGCTGCGCGCTGGTGGAAAGGGACCAAGCGGAGGGCAGTCGGTCGTCAACACAGCCTCTAGCGTTTGGTAGGAGGTGGGTCGGGCGAAGCGCCGGCGGGGGTGTTGGTCTCTGTGCACAGCTGCTTCGGATCGACGCAGGCGAGAGTGGAGTTGGTCGAGTAGCAGCTGACAGCGAGAAACGAGAGGGAGACGCGCGCACGTCCTCGGTGCATTCGCCAGATCGGCCGCCGCGTGTTATCGCTCACCATTTCCGGCCTTGTCGCAATCCTTCCTTCCACATCCACCTCTACACGTCCATCTCACATCCGTGTTACTTGTTCCAAAAATGGTAGGTTCACTGCGAATCCAATCCGCCGCTGTCGCGGTGTGCGTCAGGACGGAACGCTAAAGCTTTGCACGTTTGGTGTCTACGACAGTCTTCCGGTGTTGCAGTTTCGCAAGAGTGCCTGGCGCAGTTCCAGGAGCTCAAGCTGGGCAAGAAGATCAAGTACATCATCTACACGCTCAACGCCCAAAACACCGAGATCGTCGTGGCCAAGACCTCCACCTCGTCCTCCTACGACGACTTCCTCGCCGAGCTGCCACCCGCCGAATGCCGCTACGCCATCTACGACTTTGAGTACGAAAAGGGCGACGAGGGCAAGCGCAACAAGATCTGCTTCTTCACCTGGTCGCCCGACGACGCCAAGATCAAGCAAAAGATGGTCTTCGCCTCCTCCAAAGACGCTCTCAGGAAGGCGCTCGTCGGCATCTCGTCCGAAATCCAGGGCACCGACTTCTCCGAAGTCAGCCACGAGACCGTCCTCGAAAAGGTCAGCCGCTCCACCTTCTAGATGCAGACTCTCACCCCGCACCACCGCCGAGGCATCCTCTGCCGCTTGACTTCGTCCAAAACGTGCAATGCCATCCCTGCTTCCGCGCGTCCGCACAGCCGCAATCCCTTGAGCATACTTCACGCGCGTTTGTGTATGTGTGTGTATAAGCCTCACGACGGTACAATTACAAGCAACGACAAACTGTCGACGACGCTCACTTGAGGCCTTCGCGCATGGCGGCGGAGCGCGCCTTGCTCTGCAGGAACGCCAGCCGATCTTGGTATCGCTTGACCACGGCGGCGCGTTGCGCGTAGTTGCTCGTCAGCTCGGCTTCCAACGCCCTGGCCTCGTCCGACCCGCCGCCGTCCTCGCCACCAAGCCCGCTTGACGACGCATGCGCCTGGCGCGGTTGGCGATACGATGAAGGCGGAGGTGCACTGGCCTCTAGCCGATGCACGCACGCCTGCGGATTAGCCTCGCGCACCCGCTCCACCACCTCGCGCACCGCCTGAGCCTCCAACGCACCGTGCTTGGCCACAAGCGTCTGCTCCAGCGCCGCAAAAGTGTCGAGCATCCGGTTACCCTCGCCCAGCACCACCGCGATCTCGGCCTGGATCTCGGCCGACGACTTGTCCGCATACTCGACGCCGAACAGCGTCGTAGGCGCCATCTCGGCACGCAAAGACGTTGGCGACCTCTCGCGTGCAATGCCGCCCATCGCCGACTGCTCCGAAGCACCCGTCTCGTACAGCGACACGGCACGCAGCGAGCGCGCCGTCCTCTCGGCAGAGAACGCCTCTTCCAGCTCGCGCGCTGCCGTCTCGGCGTGCACCCGCCTCGACTGGCTCCCCGCCCTCAGACGTCCCAGCGTCGAAAGGCGCGACGACTTGGCACCAGACGAACGCTGTGTGCGCGACGACATTGCACGCTGCGAGTGACCATCACCACTGGACAGCTGCGACGACTTGCCTTCCGAGTCGCGCCGCAATGGTCCATTGCGAGCCATATCGCTTGCAACACTCGCCTCGACACCCCCGCTGGAAGAGCCGCTACGGTTGTGCATCTTGGTAGCACCGACGCTCTTCTTGAGAAAGTTCGAGGCGTGTTGCAGACTCGAAGACGTCGCACTTTGGCCACTGCGAATCGAAGAGCCCGGTCGCTCTGCCTGGCCGCGCATCGAGCCTGTGCGGCTGACGGCGAGATGATCCGATGAGCTGTGCGCGTGACGAGCAGATCCATTCGGAGGGCTTGGTGCTGGCTTGCCCAGAACGTGGTCGGGCAGGCCGGAACCGCTGAGATCACGATCCGAAGGCGCAGACATGAGATGCTTGTCGGCCTGGAGCATGCGATCGAATACCGCCTGTCGCAGCGTCCGATACTCGTCGTCGGTGAGAAGACCATCGGCGTTGGCAACAGCGAGCTCGTCGAGCCGAACCGCCAAGTCTGCAGACGACATGGAAGGCACATCGACGTGAAGGTGGGCAGCGGACCTTGCGCTTGGGTCGGACCCCGAGGGATGAGGGAAGTCCAGACTGTCGCTGACAAGGACACGGTCTGCACGGGAAGATGAGACCTGCTTTGGAGCGCTCCGCTTGCTGGTGGTAGATGCCTTCCTCAGCAGGGCGGGGCTGTCGGCACCTCGATCGAGTGGTTGGGAGTGCGGCATCTTGTAGCTCGATGGCGCATGTGTCGATCGAGATGCTGGCTTCAAGTTGGCAGAAGCATCGTTGGTGCCGGCCGCTTGGAGCGGCTTGCGGCGAATGCTGGCACTGCGGAGTGATCCGGAGAGCCTTGCAGACCACGCATTCGGAGGACCCGTATGCGCATCGCTGTGGTATTGCAGGCGATCGGTATGGAAGCGGTTCGAGCCTGGTGCTGTTGAAGGGACGTCTCCGATGGCGCTGGCTGCGGTGTCCAAGGAAGCATAGATGGCGTGGACGCGAGGTGCCTCTTTGGACGGTGTGCCTAGAGGCGTCTTGGAGGCGACCTCGAACGACGCATCCTTGCGATCCACGTTGGTTCGCCGTCCAAAGTTGGCAAAGATGGCCTTCATCCTTGCGCGAGATCCGATCCGTTCGGATTGATGGAGGTGTGCTATTGGACCGAGTTGCGTTCAGATGAACATTGCTGCTCGCCAAATGGACGAGGTCGAGTTAGGATTAAACCGGGAGCATGCCGAAGAAAGAGGTCAGGCGCTCGAGGTCACTAACGGTGGCAGGACCTTTGAAAATCGACCGGGCCAGCCGGTGGTAGGGATGCGCTGCTGACTCGGAGGCGCGCGGATGATTGGGATGACGAGAGTAGGGGTATCGTGCGTGATGATGGAGACTCGAACGCCCGTACCGCTCGACGGCCATGCGAGCGAGCGTGTGCGGATGAGCCGAGCGTGGTGTGGCGCCCCGCCGCCCGACTCGTGAGAAAAGCGCTAAATTTGCAGGAGGCGCCGAATCGAGGCTGCAGCTCAGCAGCAGTCGGCGCATCCGAAGAAGCGAGGAGCCAGCGCGCCGCCGTTGCCAAGCGCGCCTGCTGTCTCGCTTTGCCCGACCGCTGCAACGGCGCTGGTCATTGCTGTAGGAACATGGCTGCTCGCATCTCGTGCATGCACGTCTGCTGGAGATCGCAATGTGGCAACGCTTCCTGTGGGCATGCGCTGTGGGCACACGCTGAAACCGCCAGTGCTGTCTGAGACACACAGGTCGTGTCTTGTGCCTTCCGCAGGCCTTCTTTGCTGCTCCCACCTTCGAGCATCGAGGCGTCTTTCGGCTGCTCCGCTGCTCCGAAATGATCTCATCTCATACTGCGCCTTCTGCCACGGGTGCGGTACAGCACCACCGCTCTGATTAGCATCGAAGAAGGGCTCGACGCTGATCTTCCCTCGTTCGTACAAGCATGTAGCTTTACAGCACTGAACGAAGCAGTCGAGTAAGAACCGAAGCTCCAGGTTGGGGGCATGCTCTTCGTTGCCATCATTGTCGGCCCGATCTGCAACCAACACACTTGGTTGTGCAGATCAAGGGTCTTCGGCGAGCTGCCGCCGCCTGGAACGCGCGCGTCAAGTTGGCCACGCAGAAAAATCCACCAAAAAAATAAAAAGCGGCAGGCGGGCGGGTCCAGCCCGACACGCGGTCACGCTCAAAAGGTGTTGGTCTTGGATCGGCGCGCGTGAGTGGTGGTGCTGATTAGATCCGTTTCCCGTGGTGAGCCTTCTGGCTGCGTCCGCCTGCGGAGCCACTCAAAAAAAGTAACACGGACGGACAGACGCGCTCCACAGCGTAGATTCTGCCGAAGCATTGCGCACTGCCTTCTCGCTGTCCCTCCACTCCGTCCTCTTGTCATCCTGCCGCTGTTCCATCTCACGCTCACGTATCCCATCAGAATCGCCGAACACCACTGCAGCATTCGGCACGCCTCCTTTTCCCACCAGCTCCCGTACGAAGCCGGAGCATCCGACGCAGTTTCGCTTCTCCCGCATCACGTCCAGCTCGGGAACGGCCGCCCTCCGAAGCAGCTCTGGCCCCGAAAATGGCTTACAAGCGATCGTCCGTGCTCGTCGGCCTTCCCGACCAGGACCGAGGCTGGGAAGAAGTCCAGGCAAAGACGTTCACAAAATGGTAAGCTGCGCCTCTGCGCTCCACTCACTCTCCTTCTGGCGGCGCAAGGAGAGATGCGCTAACCCCTTTCCCCGCCCTTCCTCGCGCAGGCTCAACACCAAATTGGAATCGAGACAGATCGCGCCGATGCGGTCACTAGCGACGGACCTCTCTGACGGCGTCAAGCTGGTGCAGCTCATGGAGATCATGGGCGACACCACCCTCGGTCGCTTCTACATGAATCCACGCATGCGCGTCCAGAAGGCAGAGAACGTCAACCTCGCGCTTGAATTCATCAAGAGCAGAGGCGTCGTGCTCACCAACGTCGGTGCAGAAGACATCGTCGATGGCAACCTCAAGCTCATCCTCGGCATGATCTGGACCCTCATTCTTCGCTTCACCATTGCCGATATCAGGTGCGTACTACAGTGCTCGTATTCATTTACGAAGCGTGCGCTGACAACCTTTCCCTGCCGTGGCTCTCCTCGGAATCTCTGCACCACTCGATCTTTTCTGTCAACAGCGAGGAGGGTGTCACCGCCAAAGAGGGTCTGTTGCTCTGGTGCCAGCGCAAGACAGCTCCGTACCAGGAAGTAGAGGTGACCAATTTCACAACATCCTTCAAGGACGGCCTTGCATTGTGCGCCCTCATCCATCGCCATCGTCCCGACCTCCTCAACTACGACGCATTGCCAAAGTCGGATCCACACGCTTGCACCCGAACCGCCTTCCAAGTGGCCGAGCAGCATCTGGGCATCCCGCAGCTGCTCGATGTCGAAGACTTGTGCGACCGTGCCAAGCCAGACGAACGCAGTGTCATGACCTACGTCGCCCAATACTTCCACGCATTCAGCTCCATGGAGCAGGCCGAGGTGGTCAGCCGCAGGGTCGCCACCTTTGCCGACGTCATGCAGGGCGCCTGGCTCATGCAGCAAGACTATGAAAGGAGGGCACGCGAGGTAAGTCGATGCCGGCACTGTCTTGATTCCGACCACGCGCTGACGAATCCCATGACGCCTCGACTCAGCTCGTCGAGACCATGGGCAACCTTCAAGCTGGATGGGTCGCAGCCAAGTTTGCAGGCACCTACGCAGATGCTCGATCGCAGCTGACCGAGTTCAACGAATACAAGATCGGTGTCAAGCGCGAGCTCGTGCGAGAGCGTACGGATCTGGCGGCGCTCCTGGGCAACATTCAGACCAAGCTCAAGACCTACCACCTTCCCGAGTGGATGCCGCATCTAGGATTGAGGCAGTCCGACTTGGACGCGGCGTGGGCTACGCTGGCCGAGGCCGAGGCGCGTCGCAGTCGATCCATCAACGCCGAGATCCGCAACGCCAAGGAGAACCTGCGCATCAAATTTGCCAATGCTGCCAACGCATTCGAGCGACAACTGCGCGAGGTGGCGGGCGGCATCGCAACGCTCGAGGGCGACCTCGAGGGGCAGGAGGTCGTGGTGAAAAGCCTGCTCGCCCAGCTCGACCCCATCAAAGACGGGCTCGAGCTCATCTCGGCGCTCGAACAAGCGTGCACCGAAGCCAAGGTGGAAGAGAACGACCACACCATCTTCACACTGAGCGATCTCGCGTTCGAGTGGGAGCTGGTGCGAGCGAGCGTCTCCAAGAAGCTGGCCTTCATCCAGAACCAGATCGTCTCGCGACAGCACACCAACCTCACGCCGGCACAACTCGAAGAGTTCGAGTCCACCTTCCGCTACTTTGACAAGGACGCCTCCAATACGCTTACCGTTCCGGAGCTGGGGGCGGCGCTCGCCAGTCTGGGCATCATCTACACCGAGGATGACATCGAGCAGATCCACCTGCAACTCAGCGAGACGTTTGGGGCCGTCTCGTACGACGCATTCCTCACCTTCTTGCGCGAGATCACCGAGGATACGACGTCGCCCGACCAGCTGCTCGAGGCGTTCCAGGGCTTGGCGGGCGACAAGCCGTACGTGACTGAACTCGATCTGCGACTTGCACTGCTACCACAGGGCTCGATCGACTATCTCAAAGCCGCCATGCCCCAGGTGCAAGTCGAGGGGGTCGAGGATGCTGTGTATGATTACGAAGGCTACCTCACCGGCCTCTTTGGTGTTGCCCAGGCGGAGGCCTAAAGGAAGCGAGAGCGCAATATTCCATGCCGATGTGGCAATGTACAATGCATGATTCGAGCCGTGCTGCTACTGGCTGAGCACAGACGCGAGTGTGCTCACAGAAGCAGTAGATGTGAAGGCTCCATAGGCGAGTGCCGGTGCCACGCGACCGACGACGTTGCTTAGCGCCGAGAAGCGAACGCACAGACGCCCTTCCAACCCTTCGGCAGCGTACGGCGGCGCTTCATGCGCTGCTCGGAGGGATTAATTTGGGAGGAGCCGGCGCGTAAATCCGGTGGGCCGTTTCCAAAGTCGCGTTTGGCTTGGAGATTGTTGCGCACGGCTTCTCGCTCTCACAACCTTCCGCGACTTCTTCATCCCATCCCAGACGCGCGCCGACCAATCACATTGCGCTGCCTTCGACGCCGCCGCCGCCCTCCCTGCGTGGATATCACAGCACGCACGTCCCTGCGCCCACCGACGTCGCAGCTCTCGAAGGCGCGCCGGCGCTTTGCCCTCTCGAACGCACGTCATGTTCCTCCCACGTCACACCTCCATACACGCCGACCATAGACCCTCTCTCGGAAGGACGAGCTCGTCGACATCCATGGTCAGTCTGCAGGTCCACGAGTCCATCCTCGCGGCAAAAGTGCGCGACATGAGCGCCCACTTCGGCCTCGGTCTCGCAGACGAATCGGCTTCCACCCCACAAGATGCCGACACCGAATCCGCACCCGACACGTCCTCGAGCGGTGCAGTCTCCCAAGCTTCGGCACAGCACGACCTCGTCGTAGATGGGACGAGAGGCAAGCGCAGCATCGACCACATCTTTGTCGGCGGACGACCGTCGCGGGGCCAGCCTCAGCTGTCCGCCAACAACGCCCGCGACCAACGCAAGGCGCCGCGTCATTCGGCTCAGCGCACCAGTCTACGCGGATACGCCCAAGCCAGGTGGTCGCGACACGAGGGACTGTGCGATCGCGTCCTGCGCGCCACCAATGTCGCCAAGCTCGAGTGGGAGGCCAAGGCGGCGCTTCTGCATCACGCCTACCCGCTTGCCATCTTGCTTCTCTTCCGTGCCGCCTCGCTCGGCTCCACAACCGCTTCTCAACGCCTCGCCCATCTCTACGCCTACGGCGTCACCCGTGGCGTCTCCCCCGTCGTCACGCTCGTCTACCGTGACACGCTTCGAAGCATCGCATGGATATTCCAAGCGCTTCGTCTGTGCGAGCGCCGCCTTCCCGCTCAGCTCAAGGCAGCCTCCGCCTCGGCTACGCCGTCGCTCCGACTCTCGCAGGTGTGGCAAGCGCCTCTCGAAGCTACGAGTCTGCTCGTCAGCGCTCTCCTGAGCTCCGAGGTGGGTGCCTTCGACCCGTGCCAGAAGAACGCCGTCTTCCTCCCCGCCGTCGAGCACCTGGCCGATTCACAGGGCACATCATCCCTTCGCAGCCGCTCTTCCGCACCCGCATCACAGTCGCAAGCACCAGAGCTCTGGACCGAGCTCGAAGATGCCATTCAGAGGTGGACCGCCCGTCTGGACGCCGTTGAAAGATCCCACGCCTCCGAACAAGACATCTCCAATGGGCCGGACGAGGCCGAGGAACACGAGAGCCTCGCAACCACCATGCATCTCCTCCATGGCCACTTGCTCCTTCTCCGCGCGATCCAGTTCACCCGCGCTTTCGCCCTCGAGCCATACGCCGACAATGCCGCGCCAGCCCGACACGCCTGGGCCAAGGTGGCCGAAGTGCAGCAGAGTGGCGCATCGCATCGTCCTGACCTCGACCAGATCCTGAACATCCTGTCGCAAGCCCAAGACGCTTCGGGACGCATCTACGACGACCAGCTCTTCCGCAATCTCACCACTTGCGCGCAGAAGGGCCTCGATGAGGCGCTGGCGTCAGAATATGCACAGCGCCAGTCTATTCCGCGACCCGGGGACACAGAGGCACCAGCCGCTGTGACCTCGCAGAGGACAACGTCACGTGGAGACGCACTTCGCAGCAAGGATCGCCTTCGTGACCTCACACCTGAGGACGTCGAAACGACCAAAAAGATCGATGCCGAAACACGCCCGGCCCTGACCATGCGTCTGTCTAGCGGATATGCCGCTGCTCAGGCGGTGGTCGTCTCTGCTTCCGCAACAGCAGAGTCCAAGGCTACACCTCCATCTCTCGCTTCGGCTTCACAAACGGTCCGCCAAAAGTTTGGCCGCACCGTCAGCACCAGCTCACTCGCTGCCGCCTCGGCCAAGCCGTCTCCAGGATGGACCGAGCCAGGTTCTCCTACCGACAGTGTCCGCTCCGGATTCTCCCTCGGCGTGGCCCGGCCGAGGCGGCCTTCCAGCGTCGTGTCCGTCACCCCATCGCTCCTCTTCCCGCCTGGCTCCGCCGCGGACGATCAAAGCCCGAATAGCCTCGCTGACGATGGCTACTTTTCGTCGCGGGGCTCAGGCCGCACACGGTCGGCTTCGTCCACCCAGCTCAGCGGCGGCCCCGTCCAGAGGCCGCGCGTCACCAGTATGTACAGCGCGCCCGGGCTCGTGACGTCGTTGTCGAGCGCCAGCCTGGTCGCTCCTTCGGTTTCGACTACGAGCCAACAAAGCTTGAACGCCGTGGCGTCGTCCAACCCGACTAATCTCGGCGTGCCTACTCGTAGACGCACGGGCTCAAATGCCTCGCTTGGCTCCATCAATTCTCGGTTCGGATCCATTCTCCCGAAGACGTCTCCGTCCATCTCCGAGATGCCGGAAGGAATCGGCGCGACCTCGCGCGGGGAGCCATCGAAGAGCGCGGCCGCAGACACGCTGCGAAAGCTCAAGGGCAGACGTTCGCACACAGACCTTCGTGCGCTCCAGTCGGCCCGCAACGATCACAGCTCGGCGCCGCCAGTCCCTGCGCTACCCGGCCAGTCGCAGGCGCGTTTGAGCGCCGTGGCGTTGCCGGTCTCCACGCTGCAGCCATCCAAGTCGACCGTATTTGTCTCGCTAGAGAACCTGCCGGACGTGCAGGCCAGCGGGCGATCCAAAGTGGCCGAGAGCCAGCCAACCGAGTCCAAGGCGTCGGCGAAAGATCACCTTGCACGCACGCAGGCGCGCATTCCCCACTCGTCGATCCCCTCGGTGCTCGAGGAGGGCGACATGGCGCTTGCGGCCAAAGACACCACAACTACGGGTCCGGCCTTCACTTCGGCGCTCCTGGCTGGCGCCTTGTCTGGTCTCACGGTTGACCTGCTCTTTTTCCCCATTGACACCATCAAGACTCGCCTGCAGTCGGCGCAGGGCTTCTGGGCTGCCGGCGGATTCAGCGGCGTGTACCGCGGCCTGGCCTCGACCGCCGTGGGCTCGGCCCCCGGTGCCTCGGTATTTTTCACTACGTACGAATCGATGAAGCCGGCACTGGTGCGATGGATGCCCGACGTGTTTGGCGCTGAAGGCGCGCTCGGTCCAGCGGGCGTGCACATGGCGGCGGCATCCATGGCCGAGGTGGCGGCGTGCCTGATCCGCGTGCCGACCGAAGTGATCAAGTCGCGCCAGCAGACCATGACGTACGGCAGGGGCACCACCACGCTGCAGGCATTCAAAAAGGTGTTCCAGGAAGCGGGCGTGCGGGGCTACTACCGCGGCTTCGGCAGCACCGTCGGCCGAGAGATCCCGTTCACCTGCATCCAGTTTCCGCTGTACGAGCGGCTCAAGCTCGAAATGGCACGGTCGAGGGCCAGCAAGGACGCAGCCTCCGGCTCGGGTGTCGCGTCCGAGGAACGCGTGCATGCCCTTTCGGACCAGGAGCTCGTACGCGGCCTCCCGACATGGCAGGCTGGCCTGGCTGGCAGCATTGCCGGTGCCATCGCCGCCGGCCTCACCACGCCGCTCGACGTGGTCAAGACGCGCATCATGCTGCACACCAAACGCTCTGCTTCGGCTCACCCGGGCGGAGCGGCTGCGGCTGCGGCCAGTGCCGCCGAGTCTCTTCCCCGCGGCGTCAACACGGACATCATCCCGACGCTGCTCCACATCGGCCGCACCGAGGGTATCAAGACGCTCTTCAGCGGCTTCCTCCCGCGCACAATGTGGATCGGCCTCGGCGGCGCCGTCTTCCTGGGCACGTTCGACGCCGGCATCAAGACGCTTTCTTGAGCGCAAGCACTCGCCGGCACAAACCTTTGTCGCTCTGGAATGTATCATACACAGCACAACGTAATGCCACACGCGCGTTGGAGCGGATCTATATTGAGTTTGAGGGGTGTGGGGTCTAGCGGAGGGAGATGTTGATGATGCGGATGTCTTGGCGCGGTTTGTCGTTCTTGTCGACCTTGGCGTCTTCGATGCGCTTGACGACGTCCATGCCCGCCGATACCTTGCCGAACACGGTGTGTTTGCGGTCGAGCCAGGGCGTGGGGACGGTGGTGATGAAGAACTGGCTGCCGTTGGTGTTGGGACCAGCGTTGGCCATGCTGAGTGTAAACGGCTTGGAATGGTTCAAGCTCGGGTGGAACTCGTCTTCAAAGTTGCCACCCCAGAGACTCTCGCCGCCCGTACCGTCGCCGAGGGGATCGCCGGTTTGCACCATGAACTTTTTGATGATGCGGTGGAAAATCACGTCGTTGTAGTATCCCTTCTTGGCTAGACCGATGAAGTTGTTGCAGGTCTTGGGGACCAGATCCGCATAAAGGGTGAGGTGGATGTCGCCGAGCGTGGTGTGCAGGGTGGCTGTCGAGTGCTTGACGCCGACCGAGGCACTTGCGCCGGCGGCGTTGCGGGGGCGGTTGTTGCCAAGAGAAGTGGCGGCGGCAATCGTCTGTTCTTCGCGCGACGGCTTTTCGTTGAAGACATCGCGATCGCCTCCGCTCGCATCGCCCAAATTGCCCAGCGCATCCGGATCGACGCGCGTAAACATGTAGAAGCGTGCCCTGCCAAATGCGGTGGCAAACAGCGTCGGATCCGCCAAACCTTGCTTGGCCAGCAGCGGATTCTCGGATGCGGCTGCTGCGAGCGAGCTGACCTTGCGATCGGGCGCGCCCTGAAACAGTGCAAGATGCATGAACCGCACGCTCTCGTCCTTGCCCAGCAGCCGCACGACGCGGTCCGTGACGAGGTTGACAAACTTGATTCCATGCAGCGAGGCGTAGATGATGAAGTGGCCCGACTCGTCGAACACGACGTTCCACATGGATACGGAGCTGGCATTCGCCACTCCCGATAGCGGTCCCGCTGCGCTCGATGCGGTGATCTCGCGCTCCAACGCATATCGGCGTCCGAACTCCATCTGGTCTAGCTTGAAGTTGATCTCCTGCTGCGAAGCTGGCGTGGAATCGTCATCCTCGTTGGCTTGATCCAGGGCCTCCGCCGAGGAACTAGGCGCCGGCTGCGCTTGCAACGCTTGAAGCGCCTCGAGGCTCTCGTCGTATCTGCGCGCGATCTTGGCGGTGCGAAAGTCAAAAACCCTTATCTTGCGATCGACTGCGGAAAAGATGGCGAATTTTTCGCCATCGCGGGAGAAGGTGAGTGTGGTGGGAACCGTCTTTGTCTTTTTGAACTCGAACAGATCCGTGGTGGACTTGAGTTGGAACACGCCTGGCACCTTGAGGGGCGAAGGTGGCGGGCACGTCTCTTCGGGCACCCAGTATTCGACGAATCCGGTGACGTCGCACGAGACGACTACGTTAAGCTGCGCATTGAAAGCGAGCAAGTGGACAGGGGAGCGGTGCACGTTGGATGCTGTAAAGATGGGCTGGTGCGCCGCAGACGAGTTGGGTCGCTGTGAGAACTCGTCCTGTGCGCTTGCATCCTCTCCGTCGCTGTTGGAGATGGACGATGGAGAGCTTCGTGCATCGTAGATGCGGATCTTGCAGGACTCTTCGTCCGAAATGGCCAGCAGCGCGCGAGCACTGCCTGGACGGTGGACCCAGGCGAGTGTGCGCGCCTTGTACGGAAGCTTGATCATGTTGATGAGGTCGAAATTGTCGACGTCAAACACCTTGACATTGGACTCTGCATCAAGCGTGGCGTAGGAAGCACCGTCGGCGGAGCAGCTCCATGCAATGATGGGCGCCAGATGTGCGCGGTACTGCTTGACCGATTCGACGACGGAGGAGCCGCTGAAGATGTTTGAAGCTGAGCCCGAGCCTTCTGATGGCTTCGATCCTGCCGAAGTGGGCGGAGGTGCGAACGAAGACTTTTTCCAAAACTTGACCCAGCCGTCGACGCTGGTGGTGATGACAAAGTTGGAGCGTGGCGTGACGGTGACCGAGTTGACCGTGTCTCTGTGCATGAGCGACTTGAAGTAGCGATCCGCCGAGGGCAGGTTGCCCAGATACGTGCTCTCGTGAGGCAGAACAGCGGGCTTTTGTCTCTTTTGCGGTGGTGGGCGAGCGGCTTCGTCGCGATCATCCTGGGCTCGCTTGGCAGATCGGCCATCGGAACGGTCGGCTGAAGTGGCATCTTTGGAGTCGTTAGTAGGCGCAGGTGGGGGCGGTGGACCAACGTCACTGTCATCGTCACTATCATCAGGGCTCTGTGATCGTGCGGCGGGCGGAAGAGGGCCTGGTTCTGGGTCGGAATCGGCGTCTGACTCCGAGTCGGTCGTGTCGAAGGACTGCGATCTCCGCCTCGCCGGTGGCACGGATGGGCCGGGCGTAGCAGATCGAGAAGAGGAGGGCGAAGCTGATCTCTCCCTCGACTCTTCGCGTGAGCCAGCCGAAGACATTGTGAGCGGCTTTGCGTGTGGTGCAGGATCGTGTTGGTCGACCTGGAAGAAGGGAAAGCGTCCAAAAGGCGCGGAAGGCGTTCAGAACAACACGAACGCCTCCACTTCCGAGACCCGAAGAGCGCACCCCGAAAACCCAGAGCAGCTCATCAATCGGGGAGCAGATCTGCTTCACATCGGCCATCAGTGAAGATGATGTAAAATTTGATGTTCGAAATTGAATCGAAGACAAAAAGTTGGACCCAAAAGTCGTGAAAATCACCTTCCCCCTTCAGACCTCAAATCGAACCTCAGATCTGCGTAGTTCCGGTCCATCATTGGCACGAGGAATAAACCAGACTTCGCTTGATTACTGAGCCGGGCCTCGAAAGAAAGGTAGCACCAGCGGTATAGGGGCAGATAAAGATGCAGGCACATCATCAGCTCGATTTTGATCAGAAGCGCGAGCCCGAAATATGAGGAGGGTTGAGGCGAGCAAAAGTAGCCAGAAGCCGGATTCCTCGCAGCGACAATCTCACGAAAGAGAGGCCCATTTGTTTCTCTCGAGCTTTTGAAGGATCTAGTAGGAAGCTGCGCGAGCAACTGGATCCCGCTATGCGCCTTTCAGCTTTGGGAAGGTCCCAAAGATCTTGTAACAGGCTACTCGAGTAATGGCGAGAATGATGCCTCGATCTCGAAGTCCTGCGACCGATGCATGTCGCTCGTAGTGTGCATTTGCCCGTTATGGGCTTTGTGTCCGCGTGAGTCATGATTGCATTCGAGGCGATGAGGGTATGTTTGTTTGGCTGTAGACACCTAGGCCTTGATGTGCTTGGCGAGCATGATAAGGACGCCCATGAAGAGGACCAGCGCATGGAAGGCTGGGTGGTTGACTGGACACGCCATGGTGGTTGTTTACGAGCGTTTTGTCGGAAGTAGGACGTTGAAGGTCCGATTCGAATGGATCGGAAAGATGACCTTTGAAGCTGAGCAGAGATGAGCGGTCAGCAGGGAGATGGTGTCACCCAAGTGAACGCTTGTCGCTGTCTGGGAAGAAGTGGGCCTGCCTGGTGCAAGCGTAGAGACATTGCCTCGCTGCCCGTCGGGATGTCGTTTCGTTCTTCGCCTTGGCTAATGATGCATCAAGCGCTGAGCGTCCTCCTGCTCACCGTGAAAGGGGGCTGCTTGTCTGCCATGGGCGAGCACGAACGGCGGGCGACCAGGATACCGCCGGGGATCACGCGGAGGATTGCACATCAACGAACGGGCAACAAGATGATTGGGCCGCGAGATCCGCTGTCCAAGATGCATACCCCACTTGCATGCTGTAATTTGCAGTGCATTATCGGATACGCTAAGAAGCATATGCCGGCGTTCAACAGGACGGAGGCATTGCGTATGAGATCCCAAGCATCGCGATAGAGTGGGGGTCCCTGTGAAGCGTACGGCGCATTCTGGATTCTTGCCACTCCGGTGGGGGCCCGCGGTGGCGCCAAGTCTGTCTCACGCTAGGCTGGACCCTGCAAATCATTGATTTGTATTATTATGAGAATCTTTAAGGTGATTTTTCTGCGCTATAGTAGTTTGACGTTTGACGTGCGTCTTTCCTCGACTTTCGCACGCGATCTCGGAAACGTGGTTGGACCCACCCGCGCCACCGTCACCCGGATGGCGTTATTTTAGGCATGCATCACAAGATTTCGTACGAACGATCTGCACCAAGGCAGAACGCCATCACCTCATCTACTACAAATCTTTCGACGCTGGTTGGTCGGCTCAGCTGAGCCTTCCCAGAAACGTTCCAAAGAATCGGCTCCTTTCCATTCGCCGTCGGCTGATTGGCGTTCCGACCGACTTTGCACTACCTGACGCAGCCGACAGATCACTTCTTCCTGGCGGCGCCAAACTGACGTCTAACAGATCCTATCGCCTGCCAAGAAAAAAGTCGGAGTGAGTCCATCGGATCTCGCTTCAGTATGGTGCCATCCTACAGCACGGTCATCCTCCTGCCCCCCGGAATCGCTGCAAGAAATCTTCTTGAGCACGTCGTTTGGAAAGTACCCCCGACGGTGTTTGGATGGCATCGCACGCTTCTCGAGCAAGCGCCACGTACGGTACACAATCAGCGTAAACAAACGAAATGAGCGGAACAGACTGGTATAAGAACGGATACAAACGGATGCCAAGTCCATCTTTCGAATCATCATCCCTCTCGTCCCTTTCCCAAGGCCCCCTTCCCTGTTCCCTGCCATGAAGCTCTTGGCTATCATCCCCGCCCTCTCCATCCTGCTCACCAGCGTCGCTGCCTTCCCTTCCTATGGCGACCTGAGCAAAGTCGACTACTCTGCCTTCCTCGAAAAGGCCGCCCAGATCAAGGGAGGCCAGGAGCTCATCAAGCGAGCCACCAACAACAGCCAGACTACCGGCTTCGAGCAGCGAACCTTCCATGCTCTCATCAACCCGGCTAGCTTCAAGTTCAATCCTCAGGAGCAGCACATTGATCTCACTTCGGAGGAGCACAAGTTCATCCCTCCCGGTCCGAACGATATCCGTGGTCCCTGTCCCGGTCTCAACTTGCTCGCCAACCATGGTTATCTCAACCGTAACGGCGTCACCAACCTCTTCCAGGGTATCGATGCCATCGGCAAGGTCTTTGGTGTCGAAGCCGACCTTGGTCTCGCCCTGAACGCCTATGCTGTGGTGTTCAACGGCAACATCCTCGACCTCTCCTGGTCCATCGGCGGTCCCTACAAGTCCCAGGGTCTCGGACAGGTCACCGATCTCCTCTTCGGCACCCCCGGCGGTATCAATGCCCACAACATCTACGAGGGAGACGCTTCGATTGTCCGTCAAGATTACTACCAGCCCGGTGCCAACCATGACAATGTCCAGGTCCACCTGCCCTACTTCCAGGACCTTCTTGATCTCGGTAACAACGACCAGACCGAAGACAAGGACGTATACACTGCCGAGCTGATGCTTAAGCACAAGTCGAACCGATGGCATCAGTCGGTGGAGACCAACCCGCTCTTCTTCAACTCGGCATTCGGTGGACTTGTCGTGACGACCGCGGCTGAGCGATTCGTTGCCGAGTTCGCGGCCAACAACACCGTCGACGAGAACGGCTACAACCGATTGTACCTCGATGAGAAGAACCTTCTGGCCTTCTTCTCGGTGGAGCGCACCGCCAACGGTCTCAAGTACACCCCTGGCCACGAGAGGCTGCTGCCCGGTTGGACTCGTCGTCCTCTCGGCGCCACGTTCGGTCTGGACGACATCGTTCTCACCCTGCTACACGCCGCTGCCATCGACCCCAGTCTCCTCAGTGTCGGAGGTAACGCTGGCAAGGTCAACACCTTCACCGGCGTGGATGTCGGCAACCTCACCGGTGGTCTGTACAACTTTGAAACCCTGGCGAAGGATCCCCAGGCCCTCGCTTGCTACCTCTACCAGATCGGTATCGAGCAGCTGGTCCCCACCCAGATCAACGTGCTCTACAAGGTGACCGGACAAGCGCTCGACTTTGTCGCAAAGTACCTCACTGCTCCTTGGAAGAAGCTGGCCACCGCCGGCGGCAACCCTTGTGACAGCTTCAACTCGAACATCGCCCAGGCCTACAGCAAGTACCCCGGATCCAAGATCGAGAGGAACGGCCAGACGGGTCTTTTGACCAACCTGCTCGGCCTCAGCAGGAAGCGTCGTCGCAGTGCCGACAAGTAGACGGGCAGACGGCACCCTCTGACCACATGGCTACCATCAATGAATTTCGCTTTCGATTCGGGCACAGCACTGCATTTCCAAACAGAGTGCAGCCACCCTTCTGGACTTGGCTCCCCTGCTGTGCTTTCATTTCTCTCCCGTCAAAGTGCCACGCTGCCGGAGGCTCTCTTCCATTCAGCTCCGTGGCCACGTTTTAGTCGTCACGTGGCAACAAAAGTAATTTGCCACCATCTCCGTGTGTCGCAGTGGCAATCGTGAGTGTGTCTACATTCTCACCGCTGCCACTAGTGCCGTAGCGCCTGAAATGCGGGCCAACTTCAACAGTGGCTCTGCGGCCCACACTAGCGATTTGCCGAAGTATCGCCGAAGCACACGGCGGATACTTTCAGCTCTCGCCATCAAGTGTTCAGCTCACGTCATCTTGGCGAGCAGTCGCATAAGTCTGTGTGCAGCACAAAGATTGACGCTCGATCACGTGAGGCCGAGCCGCCTCTGTGCGAGTTGCTCACGGGAGTAAGCCGAACGTAATCGGGGTCGACAATTCAGGTAGTGTCGTCAAGCCGCAGCCATCAGGATCGGGCACAAGTCCCTTGACATAAACTACTATTAAAGCTACTGTAAGGGCTTCACCGCCGACTGCTGCGACTCTTCTGGTGGCATGTGTGCTGTTGACGCATAGTGATGAGTCAATGTCCTTTTGGCGCTCTAAGGTTGCATCGGATTGCGCCCTGACCGGCAGACCGACGAGGAGATGCTGTCATGGCGAAGGAAAGGGATTCGTCGCGATGCTTTTCACTGCTTGCAAGGGTTGAAAAGACCGGCTTTGAACTGAGCGTTCTCGCGCAGGTCGAAGATTTCGGTGACGACGGTGGTCTGTTCTCCCTGCGAGTATTGGTCGTAGCGGACCCAGCGTTGGTGGCCATCGATGGCGGTGACAAAGTAGAAGCTGAGTGCGAGACCCGGGCCAAAGAAGGCGACCCACTTGTCTGCTTGACCGTACTGGGGCAAGAGCTCGGTGCCGGCGTAGATGCCGTTCTGACGGAGGAAGTCGGGAGGCAGAAGCTGACCCTGGGCTGCGCCGATGGGAAGCTCGTTTGCATTGCAGGTGCCTGTACCGACGGGCTTAGTGTAGTCGCTGGCAAAATAGTAGTTCTTGACGTTGGCCTTGGATGCCGCGGAAGTGTCGGCATAGTCAAAGAGGGAAGAGGTGTAGGCGCCGGTCAGCTCGCCGGCGAGGGTAGCGTTGTCGGAAGCCCAGTCGAGCGTGCTGGCAGTGACGAGGACCTTGGCTTGGGAGAGCGATGAATACCAGGTGCCCGTGCTCATGTGGTTGACACCGGCGCCGTTGTAGTTCCATTTGTGCTGCTTGAAGCTGAAGGCATAATCACCATCGGGAAGCGAGGGTGGGATGCGTGCGGCCGTCTCTGGCTCGTAGGGAAGCGAAGCGTAGGCGAGAGGGTGCTGCGTAGACTCGGTGTCCGTGCGACGGGGTGCCGAAGGCGCAGCGTGGCAGCCGGCGAGGACTATGGCCAGTGTGATGAGGCTGGAGCGCACCATCTCTGGATTCGGTAGGGAGTCTGGCTGGACGAGATGCTTGAGTGATTGATGTGAGTAGGAAGGAGGTCAACCTTGATTCGCCTGGCCACTTATATGCATCTTGGTCAGCCGGCACCGGTACCAGTGTCAAGCCATTGCGGTATTGTCGGCGCTGCTTCCGGTCATCAAGCGAATAGGAGGGTCAACGCCATTGTTTGCTGGTATAGCTGGCTGTCGATGGCAAAGGTTTTGCGCCTGACCGGCAGTTTTGCGCAACTGGAAAGCTTCGCGCTGGAATCTCCGGCCGGCGATATTTTTTACCGCTGTCAAGAAGGCTGTGTTGGTTTTGCTTGCTCCAGCAGGGTCTGGCGGCGGTTTGCTGCCGGGTTGGCGCCGAATTGCTGGGGCTGGAAAGTGGACAGCCGCGGCTCGGGTTTCGGAAAGCGCCGGCTCCCTATCAGCAAAGCCAAATGCCAACTCCCGCCCGGCCGCTTCTTGCCTCAATCCACACACACGCACACACAGGAAGCTGCATTCAGCCCGTCGAGGCGGTCAATCACAGCTACGATGGGCAAAAGAGGCCTGCCTAGAGCGTCGTGCGAGGAGTGCCGCCGCAAAAAAGCTCGATGCGACTTGCCCGATCGCACGGCGCTTGGTGGCACCTCGTGCACCTGGTGCTCAGCCAAGCGTCTGCCGTGTCGATTGGAGCAGGGTGCGCGAGGCCGACGACACGAATCAGTGCAGAGCATACCGTCGAAAGCCTCATCACCCAGCACAGCCCCATCCTCAACATCGGATGCATCTGCGACTCCAGCGCTGCCGGACGAGCTCTATCTACCCGGCTCCCGACACCTTTCTCGGTCTGCCTCGGCTGTGGGATCGGCTAACAGCCAGACGACCACCACAAACACCAACAGTGCAGTTTCAGCACACATCGGCTCGCCTGCTTCCGCAACTGGGGCCATTCCGGCAGCCGGGCTTCTCGATGTACCTGGCCTCAGCTACCCGCTGCTGCAAGAGACAATCGATGCCTACTTTGCCACCGCAGGCCATCTCAACCCTTCGCTCGAGCAGCACGACTTTCGACGCCGCTGCCGCGCATACTTTGCGCCTCTCTTCTCCTGTGCGCCCGACCACGTAGCCGAAGAGATCTCGCCACTCATCATCCTCGCCGTCGCAGCCGTCGGCATCGCGCACACCACACGCCCCGCACGATTCGACCTTCAGCGTCGCATAGTACTGCGCGCAGAGCAGATCGCAAAGCTTGGAATGCTCCCGCACGGGCTCGACGGAATCACCGCCGTGCTCATCCTCGAAGGCATCGCTTACACCGCCGAAGGCGCTCCCATCTTCTGGCCCAAGAACCCCGATCCACTCCACCTCCATCCTTTCAGCCACGAAGCTCCAGTGCGTCTCACCAGACATCTCAACCTCCACCGTCACACTTCCAACACCAGAGAGACTCTGCTCTTCTGGCATATTTACGCTTTCAACTGCTGGCGGCCTGATACATTCGAGTATCTGCATCCGCGCGAAGTGGATCTCGAGCGCCCGCCGCGCGGCACACTGCTCGGAGACTGGCACGACAGCTTGCTCACGCTCGGCGAGATACATCAAGAGATTCACGACCTCTGCTGGACCGGTCCCCACCGCAAGCAAGGAATCGCTCCTGCACAAATCATCTCGCTCCTCAAGCGCCTGCATGAATACGAGCGCGCCCACATTGGCTCGCTTGCTTCCCAGACGATAGCCCAGCATTCCGAGGCGGATCTGGGCAAGAGCGCACAGCAAGGCCTCGTGCGGATACTCTACTACAACACCATCATGTCGCTCGAGGCCTACGCACGCGTTGCTGGCCTCGAAGCAGGAAGCGCAGACGTAGCCGAGGCGCGCACCATGCTCCGCACCAACACCACACGTGCCTTTAGTCAGATCGTCCACATTGCCGCAGAGGCGGCCCAACGCGGCTACTTTGGCTTCCATGTGCGCGCCTTTCGTTCCCTCACGGTCGGATGTGTGATGTGGTGCATCGAACGCATCCGCCGCGCACACGAGCATGCACGAGTCGATGCTGGCCTCTGGCTCACCTCCTGCGGCGAGCGCATGATCGACGCTATCGATTCCACCACTACGTGCTGCGTCGATACACCACCGCTCGTCTTGGAGCTGCGCGCCCAGCTCTTGCAAGCACAGCTGATGCAAGAGAGTGCAGTACAGCTGCCGCCGCCAGCCATATCGCCCTTTGACGGAAGCGACGCCAGCGAGCTTTGGTCTTGGCTACTCGATCCCGCCTTCTACGATGCGATCCAACCGTCAGTCTAATCCTGGTCCAACTTGATCTGCACGCTTGACAGCACTCAATAATACACAGCGCGGGAATACACAGCACGCAACGGCCTCTTTTTTTGAAACACGATTTGGCTATGGTCGAGAGAGCTGCTTTGCTTCACGCCGCGAGCCTGCCCAACGGGCCGCCACAAACAAGACGATGACCAGTTTCAAGCACTCTGTGCACCCCGGCAGCCGTGCCTGGTTACCTGCTTAGCAAGGAGAAACAAGATCTCGGTTGGTCGAACAAAATCAACAGATCAAAAATCTAAAAAAAATAACAGGAATGGAAACACAGGGGATCGAACCCC